AACAGGCTCGCGCTAACTTTTGAGGTCTTTAAGAGAGATACTTCTCTCAGAGCCAGAAGCTGCAGTACACATCTGGTGGGAACAAACTATAGGGCATTCTCAATGGCTGCTGCCAGGCTCTGGAGCCCCATTTTACAAAGATTAGATTGGCTTTCATTTTGTTTCATGGCCAACAAGCACACCTTTTCTTTTTTCAAAGTTGCATTTTGAGAATTTTCTGTTTATAAATGCTTTTTTCCTATGTGTATATTCTTAATTTGTATTGGTTTAACGTTTTGTAGGCTTCCATGAATCCCTGTTCTGTGGACAAATATATATGTAGAATATATATATAATGTTGTTACAATGAAATTAGCTATATTGAGATCGGAATTTGACTACTCACTCAGTCAAACTGGATAACACTAATTGTTAGAATTTGGGGTGTTAATTTGTTGCTATTAACAATACTGATATAACTTAAAATATAAAATTATTGTTAATTAACGTTGTGTTGAAAAAGATTTTAGGAACAAACAATGGGATTTGTAAAAAAAACAGCATAGAGGTTGTTGCTGCTGCTGATCCCTAAACATATTTTGTTATTAGCATTTTCAGAAGTGTTCTTTTTGTGAGCTTCTTGTTCCAATGTGACATTGTTTTGATCCGCATCTCAACCCCTTTCATGCTACTGTCTGGCACTCTCATCAGCATGTAAATATTCACTTGATCCAGATTATTTGTTAAATGTTAATAAGGAATAATATTATAGGTACATTAGGTACGATGTGTTTTAGGGCTAGCAATAATAGAAAGGTTTTGGATGAAAGGACCCCACACTAACACACACACAGGGGGATAATGTTGTGGTTTTAAAACTGCACTGACATTTATTCAGAGCCTTGACATGGCATGGGGAATGAATCTAAGCACTGTGTGATCAACTAGCCACTGGATTACATCCAGCACAAGCCCACTTGCTAGAAGACCAATAAGATCGCAGTATCTAGAAGCAACATGGGTAGAAATCAGTGAAAGATTCTCATTGCCATCTGGAGTGAAGTAACGACGACAGATTCCCAAGATGGGATCAAGATCTCCCTAGGGACTGTCAAAATCAAGGAAATAGGTACACAAACTCCAATTTCCTTTCAGAATTAATCCAAAACAGTTCAAACCGTCACCAAAAAGTTGGCAAACGTTGCAGGATAGAGTGGTGGCAAAGCAAAACAGGAGCTTCTTTGTTGAGTTCCAGGGCCAGAGAAGCAGATGGCAGAAGCAGAAGAACGGCCTGCCTCAGGGGAGTATGCTTGCTCCATCCATGTTCAACATTTACACAAATGACCAGCCACTGCCAGATGGGAAAGAGAGTTTCATCTATGCTGATGGTCATGCCATTACCGCTCAAGCAGGGAGCTTTGAGATGGTAGAACAGAAGCTCTCCAAAGCTCTAGGTGCTCTTACTGCCTATTACAGGGAAAACCAGCTGATCCCTAATCCATCTAAAACACAGACATGTGCTTTTCAACTCAAGAACAGACAAGCATCCCGAGCTCTGAGGATTACCTGGGAAGGAATCCCACTGGAGCATTGCAGCGCACCCAAATACCTGGGAGTCACTCTGGACCGTGCTCTGACCTACAAGAAGCACTGCCTGAATATCAAGCAAAAGGTGGGTGCTAGAAACAATATCATACGAAAGCTGACTGGCACAACCTGGGGATCACAACCAGACACAGTGAAGACATCTGCCCTTGCGCTATGCTACTCTGCTGCTGAGTATGCATGCCCAGTGTGGAACACATCTCACCATGCTAAAACAGTGGATGTGGCTCTTAATGAGACATGCCGCATTATCACGGGGTGTCTGCGCCCTACACCACTGGAGAAATTACACTGTCTAGCCGGTATTGCACCACCTGACATCCGCTGGGAAGTAGCAGCCAATAGTGAAAGGACCAAGGCAGAGACATCTCCAGCTCATCCCTTGTTTGGGTATCAGCCAGCACGTCAACGACTTAAATCAAGAAATAGTTTTCTAAGATCTACAGAGACACTCGCTGAAACACCCCAGCAAGCAGAGTCCAAAAGTGGCAGGCTCAAACCCAGAACCTCAATCAATGGCTGATACCAAATGAGAGACTCCCCCCCTGGGCACACAGAAGACTGGGCGACTTGGAAGGCACTGAACAGACTGCGCTCTGGCACCACGAGATGCAGAGCCAACCTTAAGAAATGGGGCTACAAAGTGGAATCCACGACATGCGAGTGTGGAGAAGAGCAAACTACTGACCACCTGCTGCAATGCAACCTGAGCCCTGCCACATGCACAATGGAGGACCTCCATGCAGCAACACCGGAGGCACTCCAAGTAGCCAGATACTGGTCAAAGGACATTTAATCAACTACCAAGCTTGCAAACTTTGTGTTTTGTCTGTCTGTCTGTTTGTTTGTTTTGTTAAAAATGTAATACAAATGTCTGGTTGCTCCTGACACAATAAACAAACCATATGGGAGAACAAGGAAAGCTTACATCAGTAGTAATATGATAACAAACAACAACAGTGCAAAATTTTGTTTAAAGTAATAATTTACTATTCCTCATTACCTTTTCTGCCTTTCTGGATTTATTCTAATGCATCAAATGGATTAGGGGAAGAATTTGGGTCCTCAGGTCAGTAAGATTATTTTCCTGCCACAGAGATTATTTTAGGAGAAGGTGAATCCCTCTCTTCCCTGCAATCTAATGTAACATTAGATTCATTTAGCTGCCTAGTGCTACTGACATCCCTCTATCACTTTCCAGTAGAATAGAAGACACTAAATTCACCTACAGTGCGTCCGTCTTAACTTTATAATATGTTGATAGCTCTATTTAAAGCTTAATAATGATGTTTTCTTGGCAGACAGAATTTGCCCTTGCTTTCCTCTGATAGAGTCTGATAGAATGTGACTTGCTGACCTAGTAGGTTTTCATGACCAAGCAGGGATTAGAACAGGCATGGGTAAACTTTAGCCCTCTAGGTGTTTTGTATTTCAACTCCCAGAAATCCCAGCAGTTTATCGGCTGTTAGAAATTGTGGGAGTTGAAGTCCAAAACATCTGGAGGGCTGAAGTTTGCACATGCCTGGATTAGTATCTTGCTTTTTCGGTTTTCTAGCCCAACACTCAAACCATAACACCACACTGGCTCTCAGCCTCTCTTTCTTAACTAAGTAGGGTTCGAAAGGGACATGTATTTACCTTGCAGTTAATTTGAAGAATAAAAATGAAGGTAAACTGGTGTGATAGGACTCCTACAGCACGTGGAGAAACCCATCTGGGGTGATTGTTCCTTATGCCATCCTGAAAATGCCTTTTTCTTTTTGAACAGTTTACTACAAAATGGTCTTTTCTGTGTCTTTATTTAAATAACCACACTTAAAACCACACTAGTTGGCAATAAAAAAAGTTTGTATTTCACTTTTCCAGTGCACTTTCATCATTATTTGCCCCAGTTTATTGCAATATCTCCTAATAAGCACGTACATACACACTTTAATTTTTCAGCTACAGAGAGGTGTTTTAAATTTCTCATTATTTTGAAAGAAGAAGAAAGATCAGGGCTGACAGCAAAGAAACAAGAATCAAAATGAAGGCTGAAAACTCAATAGAAAGTTTTGACTACTATAGTTCAACTATCTATCTATCTATCTATCTATCTATATAAATGCTCTGTTCGTTTTGAATGACATCATAACTCAAAATCCACTGGACGAATTGCTGCCAAATTTGGCCACAAGTCACCTACTAATCCAAGGAGTGACCATCACTCAAAAAATTGATTTTGTCATTTGGGAGTTGTAGTTGCTGGGATTTATACAATCAAAGAGCATTATGAACTCCAACAACAATGGAATTGAACCAAACTTGGCACACAGGACTCCCATGACCAACGGAAAATACTGAAAGGGTTTGGTGGGCATTGACCTTGAATTTTAGAATTGTAGTTCACCTACATCCAGAGAGCACTGTGGACTCAAACAATGATGGATGTGGACCAAACTTGGCAGGAATACTCAATATGCCCAAATGTAAACACAGATGGAGTTTGGGGGAAATAAACCTTGACATTTGGGAGTTGTAGTTACTGGGATGTATAGTTCACCTACAATCAAAGAGCATTCCCAATCCCACCAATGATAGAATTGGGCCAAACATCCCACACAGAACCCCCATGACCAACAGAAAATACTGTGTTTTTGGTGAGCCTTCTGACACCCCCCTTGTGACCCCCCCCCTCCCAGGGTCCTGACTTCCAGGTTGAGAAAAGCTGCCTTAAGGCCATCCAGTCCAACTCTCTTCACCAGGGCAAGAAAACATAATCAAAGCCCTCCTGACAAAGAGCCATCTAGCAACAGATATACATAGATATATATGATTCACACACACACACATATGTATGTATATGACAGATATAGTATCATAGACGTGAAAGGAACCCCTAAAGAAGGACAATTATAAATTGCATGTTCTAGAGTAGGCAAACCAGACAATCTCTACATCAACACTGACAAAGAAACAACAAGAAATACTGTTTACCCACAAACATAAAGAAATAACATATATTAGAAACCAACAGTTTCTCATTACTTTATTTGCCAGATCACTAGACTGGGCCACAGAAATGCATGGCAGGGGCGGCTAGTAATACTATATACTTTTCATTGAACAATACACTAGGATATTATTAATCATATACAGTTCTTCAAGTCAGTACGAATTCTACTAGCTTCAGAATTAGTCACCAAAATTGTACTGAGTGGGGTGGGGTTGGGTGGAGTGGAGGGCAAGTAGGAAACACATGGGCCATGTAGCTGAAAAAAAAGAAACATGTTCAGATCACTGCTAAAACATATTTAAACTATGTTCCAAAATGTAACCCCTTCATTTTACAATTTCATGTTACAATTGAATTTCTGCAGTGATTATAAAAACAAATAATCACACAACCTACAATACTAATTCAAATTGTGACATACCTAATTGTTGAAATAGAAGAGCCACACTAGTTCCCGTAACAGGAAGACTATCATGTAAAGGAGTTTGTATCAGCTGTCTGTCTCCTGCTCCTAGGGAAAACAGCTTCTGTAGAAAAATATTGTAATACACTATTATTGCTTCTACAAAATGCTATTGCTTGTTGTTCTATTATCATCTACAAATTAAGTGGCATTGATATTTTAATGGTATTTTATTCAATATCACAAAATCCTAGAGACCACAAATATGTCCTACGGCCTTTTCACACAGCCCTATATCCCAGAATACCAAGACAGAAAATCCCACAATATCTGCTTTGAACTGGGTTATCTGAGTCCACAGTCAGATTATGTGGGATTTTCTGCCTTGATATTCTGGGATATAAGGCTGTGTGGAAGGGCCCCTAGATACCTGTAATTAACTGAGGGCCCTTCCACACAGCCCTATATCCCAGAATATCAAGGCAGGAAATCCCATATTATCTGAGTGTGGACTCAGATAACCCAGTTCAAAGCAGATATTGTGGGATTTTTTGTCTTGATATTCTGAGATATAGGACTGTGTGGAAGGGCCCCGAGAGACTCATCCAGTGAGTTTTCTGTGTATCATAAACACATCTTAAGTAAGCAGGGAAATCTCTCACTTTCCTACTGAGTTTTGAAGAAAGCCAGTGACATCATGAGCAATTTGGTGACCCTGACTTTAAAAGCCAGACTTAGGGCCCTTCTACACAGCCCTATACCCCAGAATAACAAGGCAGAAAATCCTACAATATCTGCTTTGAACTGGGTTATCTGAGTCCACACTCAGATAATGTGGGATTTTCTCTCTTGATATTCTGGGATATAAGGCTGTGTGGAATATATAAATATATGTGCTATTGTGGTTTTTAATGCTTATATTGTCTTGTTAATTTTATGTTTATGCTGTTTTCTTTGTATGTATTGATTATGTTACTTGGAAACCGCTCTGAGTAACCTTGGGGAGATAGAGCGGTATATAAATAAAGTTTTGTTGTTGTTGAAGGGACCCAGTCAGATAAAATTTGCCACTTTCTAAGTTTCTGAATTTTTCTTCCAAATACTCTACTCCAGAGAACACTTATGCAACTTCTCTCAACCATCTTTACTGATTGGCTTCCATTAATCTTTCTATTATACTTATTTCTTGTGTGCTTCACATTGCACATCACAATGTTTCTTGCACAATTAAAGGAAATCAGAGAATGCAAACTGATAACATGAAAATCTGGGAATGCTATGTAATATTTGCCTAACAAAAGAATAACATATCCATCAAAGAGACAAAAGATGGGGGTGATGGAATGACAACTGCAAAAGTGGGGTTTGAATGTTTATCCTTGTGATTGACTGAATCACAGAATCATAGAGTAGGAAGAGACCTCGTAGGCCATCCAGTCCAACCCCCTGCCAAGAAGCAGGAAAATCACATTCAAAGCACCTGCAACATTATCTCAACATTAAAACCTGTCAGGTTTTAATGTTGAGATAATGTTGAGATAAATTATTTTAATATTTATACTGTATTGTTGGCCCAGCATTGAATGTTTGCTGTTTGTATGTTGTGCTCTGCTCTGAGTCCCCTTCGGGGTGAGAAGGGCATAATATAAATCTTTTAAATAAATAATAATAAATAGGTTGAATAGAGAAGAAAAGCAGGATAAATGAAGACAAGATGGATAGTGATTCATGTCTTCTTATAGAGTCTGCAAAATACGCTACTATTTATCAATGTATTTGTATGTAACCCTTTCACAAGATCTCAAAACAACATACACATAAAAATAAAATAAAATAATGATTTTTAAATAGTTTAAAAAGATCCAAAACAATAAAACCATGTAAAATAGTTTAAAATCAGCTATGGATTTAGGCCCAGTTGTTAAACTCCAAAAGCATTAATAATGTTATCATTAGCATATACTGAATCAAACTAAATCCAACCAAAATGCAAAAAGTACAGCATGCAAGTTTTTGAAGCTTCACTGGCTTCTCCATTAGGCAAAGAAGTTAAAAATCATACGCAAGGAGTGATAATAATAGAATCACAGACCTATATCTTTTCTTAGATGTTAGTTCCATTGTTAGTGAAGATGGTCTAGAATAGTATCCGTGATCATTGACCAAAGCAGTTCACACTTCCAGGAGTTGAAGCTCAAAAGATCTGGACCACTAGAGTTTGGGAAATTCTAGTCTGAGGAATATCACTGCATTCAGAGACCCCTTCTTGGCTATGTGGTGACTGGACCAAGAAGAAATGTTGGCTCCAGAGTCAATGCCAGTTAAGGAAACAGAAACTGGAGAGACACCTGCTGACATTTCAAAGGGAAAATACAAGCAAAAGGGTGGTCCAAAGGGTGGCAGTACATGAGAGTCTGAGTGAAGAGGAAGAACAGTCTCAAACACAAGAAGCTTCAAGACAGATTATCATCTCTTGCCACAATGGAGCTGGAACCTAATTCAAGTCTTCCAATACAGGAGGAGAAGCTGATGCCAGCTGAGTGACAGCAGTTCCAATTTGTGCAGCCTGAAAATGTGGAGAGAATACTTGGGGAGGTGAGAGTCATATGTGCTCTAATTCCTTGTCCTGTCTGTCTTATCAAACAAGCCGAGGGCAGAATGGCAGAGTCGATGAAGGGTGTTGTCAGTGTCTCCTCAGAAGAAGGCAGAATCATTATTTGCCCAAAGGAAGCAGTTGTTAGGCCTGTATTAGAAAGACTATTTGCGAACAACTATCAACCAGCGTCAAACCTTTTGTTTTGAGGCAAGGTATTGGAGAGTGTGGTGCCCTCCCAACTCCAGGGGTTTCTGGATGAAATGGATTATTTAGATCCATTTCAAACTGGTTTCAAGCCTGGCTATGGAACAGAGACAGCTTTTGTCACCTTGTTGGATGACCTATGAAGAGAGCTGGACAAGGGTGCGTGTCCCTTTTGGTTCTTTCAGAGGCTTTCGATACCTATGAACATGATATCTTTCTGGATCACCTCGCTGGGATAGAACCCAGAGGAAATGTTTTACAGTGGGTCCATTCCTTCCTTGAGGGGTGCACCCAGATGGTAGTGCTGGGACACTCCTGTTCAAACCCTTGGCCATTAGCCCGTTGGGTCCCTCAGGGTTTCTGTTTGTCCCCCATGCTGTTTAACATATTGAAGAAACCACTGGGATAGGTCATCTGGAGTTTTGGAATGCAGTGCATCTAAATGAAACTCTATTACTCCTTTCCACCAAGGAAACCTTCCTAGTCCTAAACCAGTTACCATCATAAGTAATGAACTGGATGAGGGAAAACAAACTGAAACTTAATCCAGGTAAGACAGATGATCTTGATCAGTCTGAGGGCAGATCAGGAAATAGGTATCCAGCCTGTGCTAGGTGGGATTACCTTCTCTCTGGAGACACAATCACAATTTGTGGGTACTCGGTGTGGTCAGGAATGCCTCTGCACATTGAAAACTTGTGCATCAACTGTGTCCATTCCTTGAGACATCAGACCTGACCATGATACATGCCTTAGTTACGTCTCAGTTGGATTACTATAAAACACTCTACTTGGGTCTGCACTGGAAAAGTGCATGGAACCTTTGGCTAGTCCAAAGAATTGCAGCCTGATTGTTAACTGGGGTTTGCTACAGGGAATACACAATTCCTGTGTTGCAACCGGGCACAATTCAAATTGTAAACAGGTTCAGGCTATTTGGCAAATTGTACCTCCCTGTACAAACATGTCAAGGGCCTGAATGCTCAGGAGAAGTCCTTCTTTCAGTCCCACAACCATTGAAAGCACAGCTGGCGGGAATGTGAAAGGGGGCCTTCTTGGTGGATGTCCCTGAGCTGTGGAACTCTCTGCCTAGAGATGCCAGAATGGCCCCCTCTCTGCTATCCTTCTGGTGGCAGACCAAGACTTCTTTATTCAGGCAGACTTTTAAAGAGGAACATTTTAAGACTGAGTCGGGGTGTGTGCTGTAGGGCATTTGATTATTTTAACTGTTTTAAAGAATTTCAAGTGTTTTAAATGATTTTGACTTGCATGTTCAATTATACTTTAATATTCATATGATATGGATTTTGAATTACTTTTTTTAGTGTTGTGAGCCTTTTTGTGTCTCAACCAAGACATAAAAGTGTTATATATAATAATAATGAGGAGGAACAAAACAAGTATGTATAGGTGGAATGGAAGCTGGCAAAGAGAGAAACTCAGTCTTCCTTTTTAAAGAATAGATTGAATAGGAAAGCCTGGTTTAAGGATTACAAGGAGAACTTGCAGCTTACTGGAGTGCATGGGCAAGAAGGCCTTTGTCTGCACTGATACACTTTTAGACCATCTTTTTCTATTTAATTTTTTTAATATTCTAAAGAGACTCTCAATTACATACATAAATATTCCAGTATAACAAAGCTAGGGAAATAAAAAAACACAAAGTGAGAGAAATAACCACATTATTTGTGAGGTGTTTTATCAATTCTGAACAAGTTCAGATCATCACAACTAACAAGAATAGTAACATCTGAAACAAAAATTAGGGCTGTGGCTCGAACTTCAACACTTTTCTTCTTTCATATTCTTTTTAGTATCTTTGCCTGGTGAAGAGGCCACTGAAGCTCTGAAAGCTTGCATTAAGCATTTTGTGTGTTTGGACTGGCCAAAAAAGGTAACAGTGTTTTGTGTTTTTTGTTGCATTTTGCTGTATAGCCTAAATGGCTTCCCCTGAATATGTTTCCAAATCAAACTAATTATCAATCTCAGTATGTTCTTCTTTGATATAAGGTTCTTAAGCTCATGGTGCCATCAGTTAAAAAGCAATAGGCAGCAAGAAATGAGAAAGAACATTTCTTGTTGCCTGTTTCCTTTTAACCAGAGATGGTAGAAACTGAAACTTGGAATTCCAGCACACAAGGCATGTGCTCCAAAGCAAGATCAAAAGGAGCATGATAAGAGCACAAATTCAGGCATGGGATAATGAAACATCTAGTAACTGCGATCAGTGAATATAAATACTAGTTCAGCTTAGGTATACACAACATTAGTTGATGAACAATTTTAGTTTCTTCTACTGTTCATTTTTCCATACAGTCTGTTAAATTTAATATGCCACTTTAATAAGTCCCCCTTGAGACTGTGCTCCAGTCTACTGTTAATAGACTGGAGCAAGGAGGTTGGGGAAAGGATCTTATCTATGTGTACTGTCATCACACCCTCCTGAAATTTGTTGGGATAATTGGGCAGTCACTATCAGAAAAGAAAGAACTATACATAAATGCTGTGCAAGTATTAAACATAAGCTTTAAATTAGCAATATGTAACGTATTTTTCCAATACTGTCATCTTTATGTAATGTCACACTTTCCATACTACAAATATATATGGACAACTCAAATACAGATTTACATCAGAATGCAAAGAGAAAGAAAAACTACATCTAAATTAAGAGGGGGAAAATATTTTGAAATACCAGCAATAAAAAAGGTTGAATGTTGCAAAATTTTCTGATCCGAATTAAAGGCAAACTCAATGACAAAATTAACCCCTTGACCTTACTGTGGAATGGAATTCTTGCTCTCTTCAGAAGGCGGGCCATTGGGGCATATTCCATTGAACTATGGTTCTTTATTAAAGCAAAATATTTGAAGAATTTATTGTTGCTTTCTTCATAAATTAAATTAACTGGATAAATACCCTTTTCCCTTTTTACCTGTGACCCTCCAGCAGCAGGGACAAAGCATGAACAAAGATTTGCAATGAGATTCTCCAAAGAGACGTTCAGATTGTCCACATACACAGTGTAGACCAAGCCAAGGCAAGCCTAAAATATGAAATAAAAACAAATAAAATTGAAACCTGGGGAGAGCCAAATTATAAAAGATATATATTTATAGTGTAAGAAATACATTCTTGAAATCCTTAAACATGTGATATGAAAAATACTTTACTGAAAGAAATGTAACACTAAGCTCTTAAGACTTTTTGGGGAGTTTAGACTATCATTTTCTATAAGCATATGTATAGTGTATATACAAAAACCAATGTATACAAAAATGTAGGCAGGTATAATTAAATAAACTTAATTAAGAAGCATAACAAAGCTTAATAAATGCTTTCAGTAACAATAATCAGGAATGAGCCAGCCTTTATTTAACATTAGAAGCATTTGTAGCTGGCCTTACAGATCCATGGGGGTTTGGCTCCATTACCCCACAAAGAAGCCAAAAAATATAAATGGTCATGCTTCATGTTATTAACATTGTCACCATTTTAGGCATAGAATGTGATCATGAGGGTATATCTTGCTTTTTTATATAAATACAAGGTATATAATGAAATAATATCACGGTTCTATAGTAACTGAGATTTATTTCTGCCTTACTATATGTGCCTTATCACAACATATGGCTTACAGGACATAGGAAGCAATTACATATAACTCAAAATACGAATGTCTCATCCATTCTGCTATTTTCGTGCCTGCCAACTGGCTTTATATGGGATAAAAGAAGTGACCAGTAATTGGGAATATAAGCAATATAGATCAAGTCTCCAAAATCTAATGGCTTCTGGGTCTGGGCCAAACCTTTCCTTCCTCGTGGTGCTCTAGCCATTATGTCTATTTTAACCACAATATAAAAGTAGGACCTAAATATTAACTGAAACTATTGAACAGGAGGTAAGACATTTTACTTGTTTTAAGTTGTCTGCTAGACTTCATCCCTCTCAAACCTAAATGTTAGATAGAGTTAGCTCTGACCACTGTAATTCAGATATACTTTAATTATCGCATCCTGTAGCAGCTGTAGAACTTGAAATATTTAGAAGTTCAAATTTAAAATATATTTGTTGAGCAATCAAAGCTGTGTGAAATAACAGAACATTATAAGAAAGTGAATTGCTTCCTTTGGGGGTGGGTGAGATGATGTTTGGGGTTAGGCTGAAAAATCTTCCCTACATTGTTTATACTTACCCAAAGTGTCCTTGTTACTGCTTCACAATTGCTATGCTGCAGAAGCAAATGAGCTGAATCATCTGCATAGAGAAGTTTTACTTGTGTATTTATGATCAGGAGTCATCAAAGTATGAACTGGGAAATAGGATTCTATTTGTGGTTCCCTTACACAATGAGCAGTGAGAACTACTGTATAGAACATAATCTTGGCAGTGACGCACTCCCAAGCTCTGGACTAATTCTATTCACCTAAGCTGCTCACAGGAACTTCCTGGATAGGAAGGACTACAAAACCTTATTTACTGGATTGGGACTTTGCCTGCTTGACAAACAAAAGTTCTTAGCTCTGGTACACTCCTTAGCTTTGACTCCCTGCCACAACTCCTAAAGTCTGGGTATGACACAACTATGACATTAGCTAAAATTAAAAGCTATGTTTTTTCAGAACCACATAGGAACAAAACTGGGGGAGAGCAGGCACCTTATTTTTAACTTTAGTTCTTCAAGTTATTATTTTTGAACTCACACACATGGGATTCTCTGCACCTCTTTGGAAACCTTTAGACTAGATCTAAAAGTTTAAAAGTCTAGAAAGGAGGATCCACCCTCCTTTCAACTACATAGGCTCACTGCAATTCCCACTCAAAATACCTCAATTCCATGTTCACCAGAGCAACCAGCAACAAAGAAAGTCGAGTATAGCAATAGATGGAAGGGGGTGAGTTGCAGAGTTCACACGTGACCATTCTAAGAACCAGAATTACAAGTAAGCAATCTGTTTTTCTTCTTTGTGGTCTCTGTGTCTCATACTTGGTAAAGATTAGCATGCTATATGCATCTAAATGGAGGGTGGAACTATGTTGATGAGAATGAAAGAACAGAAAAAATGAAAGTTATCTGGTTATGTGGTAGTCTAGTAATAAGATGACAGTATCTTTTGGAAGAAAAATGCAATCTGGAAACAGGACCAGCTTGTGTTCGTGGAATTGGAGGAATGGTGAATCCACTCTTAAAGTGGCCAGTTTGCTTGATCTTCTGGCAGAGGTGAAAACAATAAGAAACACGGCCTTCTACAAAAGGAATTTCTCATTTTTGGTAGCATGAAAAAGGTCATCAAACAGAAGTCTTCAATGACTGCTCTAGCTTCAGCACAGAAACCTGAAACCTGAACCCAGGTATGGTGTCTCTAAACAATGATCCCAGCAAGAGATTGCATTGCAGAATTAGCAATATGCCAATCTTCTGGGTGGACAAAATAGGAACCTCAAGGTAGTTTACTTTACTTACTTAGGTGATCTTTTGTTGCCTGAGGATGATGGTCCTCCAAGTCTAGTGGCTTGACGTGCCTTTCTCTTGGACATTTCTTCCTTTCGCCCCCCCCCCCCTCATTTGTGCCTGTTCGAATTCCACAGTACTGCTGGTCACCGCTGACTCTAGTTAGAGTGCTCAACGGCCAGGGCTTCCCCGTTCTCGGTGTCTATGCCACAGTTTTTAAGATTAGATTAAGCCCATCTTTAAATCTTTTTTCCTATCTACTAATGTTACATTTCCCATTCTTGAGTTGGGAATATAGTGACTGCTTTGGAAGACAGTGATCGGGAATTTGGACAACATGGTCAGTCCAGCAGAGTTGATGAAAGCATATGCATTCCCTTCCTATCCTCCTTGGGCGGCCTTTCAAGAAGCAAAGCATCTTTATCTCATAGGTACTGCTGCCCTCATGCAAGCCTTATAGTCAGATGTAGAGTGCCACAATACAATTGACTTTATAATCCATGAGCTCAGACCAGTACCTTTGTCCATCCAGGATTCAATTTTATAGCTTACCTGGTAGTTTAATTAGAGCAGTGATTCACAACCTCTGGTGGCCACAATTACTGACATTTCACAAAGTTGTCTGAAGCTTCTGGGAGTAGAAGTCCCCAACGCCTGGAAGGATCAAGGTTGGGAGCCACTGGTTTAGAGGTAGCTGCCTGAATAATAATCAAGTCTGGAAACAGATGTTTGAAAAGGATGGCACAGCTGGAATCTTGGATCTGACACAATCCTTTGAAATGGCAGAATACAAAGAATTGATGAAAGTTACTTCTAAGGGTATTTCACAACATTCACCAAAGCAGGCAGGAATTGAATAGCCACTGGAGGTACGCTTTGGAGATAATACAATGAAAACTTGGATCAGGAGTTGTGGAAGGAAGCTGCTGAATACCCGATTCCAAAATCTTAGCCACTCCAAGCTCCTGATTGGCATATGAACAAGTGTCTTGGTGGGGACAGCTGGTTCTAGCTGGCCACATTTTATTAATTGATTTGGTGGAGAAGGAAAAGGTGGATCAGAGCTGGAGTCTTTAGAGGCAGGGAAGTGGAGCATAGCTTCCCTTCAAGACATCAGAAGGAAGGAGAGTCGCAGGAAGGAAGGAGTTTCCCTTCAAGACATCACAAAGAAGGAGTCAAGGGAGGAAAGTGACTACAGGGTCCTTCCTCTCAAAACCAACACTGATGGAAAAGCCTGTGGTTGCGAAAAGGGATGAGAAGGAATAATCAGAGGCCTCACACCCATGGATCTAGTGAAAGCTGTTTTGTTTAGAAGAGCTGACTGATCTGATTGAGAATATGGAGACAGACACAAAAGAAATGTCAAGTGGGTCTCTCAGCACTGGAGGAGTTCAAAATATAACATATCCAGTCACAGACACATCTTGGTAAGAGGAATATGGAGAATAGGGCCTATACCAATCTCTATGACGGAGTGGGTGGATAACGGTTCCAACCTGATAGAGACTATGTCCAACAGTTATCATAATATTATACCACTGGTGGGATTGGAGGAGGAGGACTGTGATGAGGAGTGTCCTGTAGGTGAAAATGAGACAGTTCTTGCAGTGTGCTAGGTGAGTGCTGATGAAGTGGTGAGCTTGGACCAGTGAAAGGTGATGGAATGTTGGCTATGAACATAAGATCAACCTCTCATTGAGGTGTAGATAAAAGACTGGTAAGTACTTCACCCTCTGAATACAATCCCAGATATAGGACATGCAAGAAAGTCTTCTTCCAAGTGTTGTATGCAGATTAGAAACAGGAGATCCAGATATATAGCCCATGCTGTCAGGGCCAACAGCAAGTGAGAGAACCAAACTAGACGGCACTATCAGATTGACAATATAAGGCAGCAGCATCACATCTGACTCCTTCAGATAAGTTGAAGATAAATGAGCAGGCTCGACTTTCTTCTTAAAAACTGAAGAATCATCAAAAGGCGTCTTTTGGATCTTGAAAACAGCAGAGATTTCAGAAAGAGCCTGCATAGTTTTGTGCAGCACCAATTATTTCAAGTAGGACTGGTTTGACTCTAAAGTTGATGGTACCAAAGATCCCTGATGTTCGAAGGAAGCTTTATCATTATTGATGGTACATCATTGGTACAGTAGATGGTGAAGCTTATGGTACTGAACTCTTAAAGAAGGGTTCCCAACAGAATGACATGCTCTCTAACATGGGCCTCACATTGCTAGATATTTTCTTCCAAAATGGCAACATCCACAAGTAAGAATACGAACATACCATAGCTGTTGTGGGTAACTGAAGCAGTCCTCTCACCATCCATATTTAGTAGTAAGAGTCCTCTCTGTTTGCTGACCTCTGGGCCTGGTATGGCAGCTCTAGAGAAGGCTAGTATCTGCTAACTCCTTCCTCAATCAAAACTCTGACTCACAACCTTTCAGCAGATGCCCTACAATCCTAATACCATGTGCTCAGGCGAAATACTTTGTCTACAAACAATAAAGCAACAGAACACTGATGGGCAGACAACCACCACTTCCATATAATTCACAAAAACCACCAACCAACAAACTCTCTCAAAAAACTCCATGTGGCGAGGGATGTTTAACCTAACAGATATAAACTGAGGGCTGAGAAGGGCGGTATACAAATATAATAAATAAATAAATGAATGAATAAACTCAAATTGTGTTTCACCACACCCATGCAAAGCACCTGTTTGCTGAGCTTGATTCACCAAGCTCAAAGGACCGGGGTTATAACTATACAGAGAACTAGCTAGTTTCCGCCTGCTTCCTGAAGCTATGTGCTTAGGCAGAGGAGATGGGACTAAACACAATGATGTTGATGCCGAGCATCTTTCCCCTCCCCTCCCGAGTATTTGTAGTTCGCCAAGGGCTGGACAATGGATTCTGCTGCTTCCTGACCCAGCGCACATAACTGGGTTCCTGTCTCCTCTTTGTGAACTCTCTGACTTATGCACTGGACTATGGACTCTGCTACTACCCAACCCAGCGCCCATCACTGGGCTCCTGCCTTTTTTCTTATTGACTCTCTGCTTCATGAACTGAACTGTTTGCCACATCCCTGGCTTAGGAACTTCCTTCTGGTGCTTGCCTTGAAATGCAAGCAGCCTCAGTTTCCACGCACCTTTGCCAAAGGACTATGAGATCTCCAGTTTGCGTTATAATAAAGATCCAATATTGTAATAAACTTTCGCTGGGGATGGGGATGGGATATTATGAGATGCCTGTGTATTAGAGATGCCTATGCCTTATGATTATGATATATGTAACCCTTATGAATTCCTCTGTATCCTCACCCCCCTGACCTTCGCCCCACAAAAACCGGCGTGACCAGGTACTGCCTGAGGGAAGAGCCCCAGCCTCTTCCTCAATCACCCATTGATTGACTCATCAGCACGAACAATGCTGCTGATCCCCAACCCTAGCCCTCGGAGCTAGGCCAGCAAGGGAAGAGGGGTCAGCAGGACCTCGGAAAAAGAGACTGATTAATTCACCCAGATATTGTTGACCCTCCGGGTGGTCCGATATCGATCTAGCCCATTCAAATCACTCGCCAGACCCATCAAGGACAGGAAAGCTCTTTGTTTACCAAATATCACCCTTTTCCCGCCCAAGACAAAGCCCGCATTCCAGCAGGCAGGAAATCCAAATCCCATCATTTTTCCCCTTTGTCTGCGGCCGTCCCGCCCTCCTCGCTCCTGATTGGCCCAGGCTCAGAAGCGAGCGGAGGGCGCCCATTGGCCCTCCCGAGGCGCGGGAACGTTCTGATTGGCTGAAAACCGAGGCGGGCCGCCAAGCCTCCTCCCAGCTGTTCCAGCCTCAGCCAATCAGCGTCAAGCCGGCCGGTGAGGGGAGGGCGGGATTTTCAAACTGCTTTCCTTTGTTCTGACTGTATAAAAATGCCTGAAAATCTTTGTATTGCATGCTTACAGTGGAATGATTCCTGTAATGCATCCTTTTCAGCTGAATCGCAAATAAACCTCGGTCGCTGGACTTCTTCCGCCTCTGGTGAGCTGATTTCATATTAAAAATATTCCTGCGCTCTTGGATTGGCTTCCGGAAAAATCTCACCAAGGTATCCAGGACTCTCTCTGGTGTAGTCCTAGGGCTCTCCTCTCTGAAGGGGCCCCCAAAAAGAGCTCGATATCAATGTGAAGGGGAAGGAGAACTGGGGAGGTTTAATGGGAATTGTTCTGAGATCAGTATAGCTGGGTGGGCTTTCTCCTGAAAATATCTAGTTCTATACATTTTTGAATATGGTCTTGTGAGAACAAAGAATTCCATATGTGTGAGTCATTGGGCCCTTCTACACAGCCATATAACCCAGAATATCAAGGTAGATAATAAACAATATCTGCTTTGAACTGGGTTATCTGAGTCCACACTGCCATAAAATCCAGTTCAATGTGGATTTCATACAGCTGTGTGAAAGGGGCCTTAGAGACCATGAAGAAGAATTAGTCATGGGCTAGGGAGTTGTTGTTTTTTTTTTTTGCACAAATAATCATAACAAAGCAGAGATATTTTAAGATCACATATAAACTCTGATACCAGATGCATACACTGAAACATGATAAAGATTTTTTTTACCCTGAAAATTTCTGGATAATCTAATCTGGATACCAAAACCAAGCTTTTGGGAGCAAAGACTGCTGCGGGTTGAATCAAACCAGACTCCTCCTCTCCTTCAGTTTCTCTTGTGCCCTTGAAAAAAGAGAAACTTCACTCAGCAGACAAAATGTAGGCATCTTTTTGAAGCAACAGTATGAAAAACTCAGTAAGTTATAAAATTAGAAGTATAATTCAATTTTAATAAACACTGTAGAACTTTAAGACAACAGAATACCATTTGTGTTTCGCTTTACAAGACAGCTTACAGCAACCCAATAAAATATTTAAATATAGCACCTGAATAAAATGCAATGAATGTCTGAAAATTGTGTAAAATATATAATATAACATAATATATAAAATGATATAACATATTTTAAGAATTATTTCTTCAATGTTATTCCCAAGATATGAGCAGTCAGTGAATACAATGTCAAGCACAATGGAGTATCCTATCTCAATGGCCTACTCAGTTGGTTAAATGAACATTTCCACTTTCATGAGTTATTATTTCCTAGCCAGGGGGAATGAGCAAGTCCAAATAGCTTTTTGTCAAGAATTTTCGAACAAGAGAAATTATTTCTACTTTTACACCATACTCTGATTCAACAGCTTATCCTATTGACTTTAACTCTCTTTCAATTCAAAATTATAATTCCTGACAATAGTACCGCTTGGTTTGACTTTCAATTGCCACACCAATTGGTTGATTTTAGAGTTTGGAATAGACAATCTTTCAAAAATAAAGATCTAAATACGTATCATTGGCTTCTTCATTGCAATAATCCTTCTCTAAGAAGGGAGTCAAATCTATCTACCAAGTTCAAGAAGTATTTAACTAGGCCTGGGCTTTAAGATAAGAGAAACAAGGGGAGAAAAGCTGCAACTCACTGCTTTCTAGCCATTTTTGGGAGGGGGGGGGGAGAAATAGCTTAATAGACATTACTATTTATTGGTGCCATCCAAAGATACTATGCTAACGTTATGCTAATGGCAGATAACTGCCATTGACATACATTACTGCTATTTTTATGGCATTCTCATTTAATGTTAATTGCATTTGGGTTTCTGCTGAAAGAGCAGGCTGTTTATTACCATAATTTTAGAGGTTCAACTCAAAGAACCTACTTCATTTAATATATTATACATTTTAGATATGAAAGCATTATATTATTAGCTTTCCATTGTTCACTTTTCCTGTTTATTTTTTATACTATACTGAGAAATTCAAACAGCCAAAACACCTTTAAGAGGGCGTTCTGACATTCCTATAGACTTCAGTGAAACAGACAGCAAGGACCGTTCATATTTTGTTTCCCAGACCTTTACTGTTTTTCATCCCTTTTTATGGGATTCCGTTAAAATGTGCAAGTTCTTATTATTCTGAACATTAGACAAAATCCCTAATTTGGGAGAGGGTTAATTCAGTTGCAATATTATTTCACTAACATACATTTGCCCAATAAAAGGCATTCCCTTATCCTCTATTCTGTGAGAGAAATTACTTGTTCTTTAAAAATAATTTTTATTACGATTTTGAAATGTTCTGTGAGATAAATTAATGGCAACTAAAGTTAAAGAAAATCTTCACTATTTCTTTGAGGAACCTCAGCACTGGCTTAAGCTGTTGGAACAGACCAGATTTCAACACTTTTAATGCTTTATCAAGCATCACTGAATAAAATTCTGATTTAAACCACCTTTTCTCCTTTCCCCTCAAGCTTGGAATGATAAAAATTCTCAGGTTAAATGAACCCACTTCTTCTTCCCCAACAGTCGGAATATCAGTTAAGCCTTGGCTGGAGGTGCTAGAATTGTTGGCATATTTTTCCTTTCTACCATGAGAGCAATCACAGGCTGCAAACAGAGAATGAGGATGTCTTTTTCTGGAGTGCTAAAGTTTCCTGTTCCTTGCATCCATAATAGAGGACACGAGGGATTGAACTGTTACTAAAAGATGAGAAAGTTCTCTCCCTCCTTGCCTTTGTGGGCTTATGGTGTCTCAATTGAGATGAACAAGCTTCAAGTGGGTACAACCACAATATGGTTGATCATGTCAATCCAGGCCTCTGATGAAGCTAATTTTCAAGTAATCAGTGGCTGCCTCGACCCTGCCTGACTAGTGGAGGTTGTGACATCTGTAAAAATGGCACTGGAGGAATGGGCTGTATTAACGCACACGCTGGCTCCCCTCACAGGTGGACTCAGAACTCCCATGCTTGGAAAAAAGCCTTATAAAGCTGCAGGTGCCTGGTAAGGGGAAATGTTGAATATAGCTCATCTTGCTTAACCACTTTGCAACACAGGTTGCTGAAACATTCCAGGAACTTGTCTGCCAGCTAGAAGATCAGCACTGAATTGTGCACTGCCCCACCCATCTGAAAAATTCCCCTCAGAGACAGCAGTAGGATCCAACTTGGATCTGACAGGACCCGTTCACAATGTCTCTGTTTTGTCTTGGTAGTAAACCCATTAATGTTTTCTTTTTTAAAAAAAAAAAAATCCAAACTGCTTCAGTCCTACTCTGAACTCCTTAGGGGTGGTGCCAAAAGACTGAGTGGTTCTCTTCTCACAGGGCAGGATTATAAACTATGAGTTTTGAACCAATCACCTAACGCTTTCTTGTATGCTTCAGATCCTACTGACCACTGTGTTTTTATTTTCTTTACAGAATTCAGAAAGCAAGCTTATGAGGCAGTGATTGTATCTTTTTTTTCATTTTTATAATGTTTTGTGCTGCTGTCAGTTATTACTATGAAGACTATTTTCTCCGGCAGGATAAGTTATTTCCTTTGGGGACTACTGAGGTATTTTGGAAGAATTGCTATTTTGAAATCAGTGTACAGGTTAGAGATTTAATATGTCCAAAGTGAATCTTCTAATAACAAAATCCATTACAAAAGCCTGGGCACACTCCAATTTGACAAGAAAAATGAGTCTTGCAAAGCCTTTTCTTGCAAAGGAAAAAGTTAGTTTTATATCATTTTCATTTAAGGAAAAAAGAAAAAATAGCAACATTTGATGCAACAATTGTTTCATATGTTGAAAGTAAAACGTGACATCCTTTCACTCAGTCATTCTCAGTACTACTGTTTTGCTAAGTCACTTCATTATAGAGTGAAAAATCTATACAAGGAATTATTAGTAATTGATGAATGTTATATTAAAAGAGAAACACAACAGATCATTATTTTTAGTTAATCATGATGATGATGATGATGATGATGATGATGATGATGATGGTGAGCCATTATCTGTGTAGAGAAGGGGAAACTTATTATTCTTTTTGTGAGTTATTTTGGACCCTACAAGAGAAAGGTAGCATATAAATGAAGTCAACCAAACACACCAACAATTACAATTTTTTTGCTAGCTGTCTGATGCACTGAATAAAAATGTGAATTTTGAGAGCAGCAAAGAATTATACAGGACTGTACTTTTGTTCTTTCAGTAAAACACCAGTAGATGGCACTGGAGATTTTTTTCCTAGCCCTTCGAGATGTTTTTCATATATGGCTGCCCCATGAGATACAGAAGTCCTTTGGCATATTTTTACTTTCTATTTGATTAAATTATTTATTCCAAATGAAGTAGGAAACTATACCATTTCTATGTAAATCAAGTTCATCTAGAAGAACAACACACTGATGTTCCTCACTCTAGATAATTCTCCGTGTATTTTCAAAGAACTTCTATAAGTGTGACAAGTCTTATTAGAGCACTAAATAGATCTAAAATTCTTTCACTATCAAAAGCATTTTCTGGACTCACATGTGAAAACATGAACTGCATCTGAACTTATATATGCCAGAAAGCAACAGTCCTCAAATGTAATATACATATTCATACTTTATATGTGGTATTTTTTTTTTCAGACAGGGTAATGCAGTGGTTTGAGTGTTGGATTAGAATCAGAGTTTGAATTCCCACTTGAACAACTCAACTTCTCTCAGCCTCAAAGGAAAACCATGGGCACCTCACAGTGAACAAATCTTCCAAAGAGCATGCCATTCCCATAGTGTGGAAATGACTCGGAGGCACACAAGAGTAACAAGCATGGTTTTTTAAAGTTCCATGCCTTCCACTAGTTCATCTACAGATTCTTGAGAACACTCAATTACTTTTCTCCCAAATTCAAGCAATCCAAGTAATCATTAGCACACTTTTATGGCAACAAATGTGGAAGCCAGTGGTGCACAGATGCTATTGGAAAAGGTTAGAATTCCGTATTATTTTATATCTACCTAAGTACTTTAGTAAGAAACCTTTCCTGGCATGAGATCCCACCCATAGATCTGACAGAAACAGATTGTCAGCAAAATGACACTTCTACCTACACAGCTAGTGCCTTGTAAAAAAGGTTGGGCGGGAGTGAGTTATGATTGCAGACGTAGTGTCAGAATTGTTATTAAGTGGTGATCTTGATGCAAAACATTTATTTAACCTCAAACTTACTTTACAGAGCATCCAATGCATGGGGAGAAGAAGGGCCATTTGTCTAATGATCTGAACATGGTTGTATGGTATTATAATCAGGTTTTGGGGGCCTGGAGAAGTCACCTAGTTAAGTATCTCGTGACATTATATCCTAAATCCATTGTTAGGCCCAATTAAAGTTCACTCACTGATTAAACAGAAACTAGGTAAGACAGCATATGTGTAATTTCCATAGAATTAATGAATCTACTCTAATTGTAACTAAAAATTAAGGATTTACTTGCTTCTGTAGTATGTATGTGTTCTGGAAAACGTACAGTGTTTTGCGTCCAAGCAATTGTCCTGCTTCTTGGCAGGGGGTTGGGCTGGATGGCCCACGAAGTCTCTTCCAACCCTATGATTCTATGATCTATGATTCTATTAAAATTTTAAATGTGCACCGGAAAAGAATGTTTTGAATTTGAATAAAGGAACAAATTACCAACCACAAGCGATTTGGCAAATATTGTGTTAGCATGGTATATGAATGGCTGAAATTATAAATTGTTCTTGAAAATGCAATTACTTTCTTAAAAGGCTAACACTTGCTAATAATGCTTCCTATGTAATTAAATAACTGTACTGAATTATTTTTCTCTTATAATTTGAGATTTTTA